GGGGGGGGGTGGGGGGGGGGGGGGGGGGAAAAGAGAGAGGTGATGAGAGGAAGGGGTGCTTCAAAGCAGCAGCGCCACGCTGAGCCCCGAGCCAGACCCTGGGCTCCATGCAGCGCTGCCACTTTGAAATGCCACATGCAGCGCAGCGACACCCCCACCCCCCGCTGGCCCCATGCTCCCTGCGGTGCTTTTGCCTTTGACGCGTCGCCTGGGCCGGCCCACAACATTTTGGCACTTGAGGCAGGGAGCTCAAATGACGCCCCCATATGCACCAGCAACAGACACAATTTTCTACACTCTGGGTCCTAGTGGCGCCCACACCACCACCACAGTCTGGCATCTGGGGCACCTGCCTCAGTTTGCCTCCTGGTAGGGCCAGCCCTGAGCCTAGCAGCAGCCCTGAGGCTCTTGCTACACTTCGAAGGCGAGGCGCCCTTATCAACTAATGGAATAGTCGATGCAAACTGCACCGACTATTCGCTTAGCCAATGAATCGGCATTTCGCACCCCTAGCCTTTACACACCCGCAGGCCGCACACCTACCTCCGGTGATCCACGCAGTGCACCACTCTGCCAAACGTGCCTTCCCCTAGGGTGCTAATAATCTCATCTGAGAGAGAGAGAGAGGGAGAGAGAGGCAGCCATGAGGGAGTGAGCAGGACCTGGCTGCGGCGCATACACGAGGCAGAGGAGACGGCATTGCAACGCCTAGCCTGGACACAGCTTGAGACACCGGTGCAGCAGAAGGCTGACACCAGCTGCACAAGGCAACTGCTCTAGTTCCCTGGCACTTTGGTACCGATGCAAACTAGAAAATTAACAGCTTTAACAAAGGGGCAGGCGGGAAGGAAGGGGGTTCTCTTTAAAAACAATGGAAACGAAACAGAACAGAAAGAGAAGACAGGTCTGCCACTGCGATGGGAGCTTAACGAGAGAGCTAAATTATGTTACGATTTGGCTGTACATCTTTCTTGTAGCCAGTCGCCGACGCGATAGATCAGATGCCCCTCGTCGTCGTCCTCCACACTCTTGGCCCTTCTGCTGCTCTGTCGACTCCGCTGCTGGCCCAGGCAGACAGGGAATTCACCAGTCACCAGCCAATCAGATTTTCAAACCAGCGCAGCAGCCAGCGTCACGCATTGGTTGGTTTGGAAATTCACATGGTTGTTTGAGGAGGGGTTGCCGGAGGAGATTCCCAGCCAATTCATACGGCACAGAGGAATATATAACGATAGGGATATTGCAAGGGAACATGTCAAGATACAACACACTAGCTCAGAAAAGAAAAAAAAACAGTTTGCTTTTCTTTGCAGCAAAAAAAAAAAAAAGAACAAAAAAAGAACAAAAAGAAAAAACCTACCAACAGCCCCCCCCGAACCAGTGCAAGAGCGAAGACCAGAACAGGGCGAGCGGAGGGGGGGGCGCAGACAAGGGGACCAGCTGCTCTCACTCCTCTGGGGCTTTGCAGAGGAGCGGAGCTGACTTTCATGTCCTGGATCTACGCCAAGAGAGCACTCAGCAACCTGGCTGTCTAGCCACACGGGCTGGGACCAAAGGGAGGGGCTCGCATCAGCCCCCACCCCAGCAGCCACCAAGGAGAGGCAGCAGCAGATGGCATGCTGGGAAATCCGTCACAAGCCAAGGGCCAAGCTGCCCCTGCCCAGACACCCCCACCCTTTCCCAACAGCCCTTCACAACAGCCTTCCAACTCCCCAACACAGAGAAGGAAGAACTAAGACGTTTACAAAGCACAATGCGGCCTCCAGAACCAGACAGACCTTGTGAGTAACAGCCCCAGGGGCAGATCAGAGACCTCAGCTGCCCTCCCTAAAGAAACCGGTCCCGGAGGACTCAACCCCTGGAGAAAAGGAGCACAACGGGGGCTGGGCACAGCTGGGGCTGAGGTCAGATGAGAGACTTGCACAGAAGAGAGAGAGAGAGAGAGAGAGAGAGAGAGAGAGAGAGAGAGGGGTTCTGCTTTCAGTTCTTCAGCTACGTAACCCCACGCTTGGGAGCATGTTGGGGCCCCCACCTCCAGCCCAGGCCCCCCTTCCTAGTCCTGGAACAGCTCTGAACGCGCAGCCCGGCCCCCACGTGGAGAAAGCGCATCTCGGGCCAACAGGAAACGGGAGGAAGCAGCGCCGTAGTCAAGAGAAAGGTGGCTGGGGACCCTGCTGCCTCCATCTGAACGGACTGGCCCACATGCCAGAGCCCCCTGCCCGACATCTCACTTAGCCAGTGCAACACAAGCCAAGGGAGGGTCTGCTGCTCAGACGAGATCTGGGCTCCCCAGGGCCAGGCCTCCTGCCCCAGCACCACTCCAGGGGGGACGGCCAGCCCCGGAGAGAGATACCGAGCTCTCTGGGGCAGAGGCCGTCTTCGCGCTTGCCTGCTGCCCAGCAGAGCCCCTGCAGCTCGTTCGCAGTACCATGACGCCAGCGCCACACGCAACGACCGCAGCACCCGACTGGGAACATGGAAGGGAGGGGCGGCCCTGGGCCCCCTGGGGCACATGGCTCCTCTCCTGGTTTCTCCTGCTAGAGGGGGCCCTTTCAGGAGGCGCTCGAAAACTGCCTGGGCCCATCAGGACGGCGGACAGGAGCTGCGGTCTGTGCTAGGTTTTTTCTATGCATGTCACGAGCTGAGACTGCGTAAGAAAGTAAGTGAGCGTCCTACTTACCAAGCATGCAACCTGGGAGAGAAAGGTTACAAGGAAAGCTACGGAGTGGCAGGATACTCACCGACGAGGAGCGGCTAAAGGACCGGCTGCGGCGCCGTCTCCGCCTGTGCTTATTACGCCGGCTGCTTTTGCAGCTCCGGTAGCTGCCGTCATGGTCCCGGGAGCGCCGGTACTCGTACGAGTGGTGGTACTCAGCATCGTAGTAGGCATCCCCTCGTTCACGGCTGTAGTCATTCCGCCTGTAGCCGTCACAGTAGCGCCTGTCATAGGCTCGCCTGTCCGAAGAGTGGTCGTCATAGCTGGGAGGGGGAAGCAGAGTAAATGGAACGTGAGTGGGGCCCAGCTGGAACCGGCATCGAGACCCGGCTCTGTCTGAGCAGGCGAAGGGTTCGGGGCTTTCCAGAGTTCAGGCCCCAGCACTGCAGTGACTGCTCACATGCTCCCCCAGGAAGGATCCACAGCCCCACTAGCAAGAGTCCTCCAGACACCATCCTACCCCTGCTGGCATCAGAGCGACTGGCAGGAGGCAGCTGCTCAGGCTTCCCTCCCCATTGGGGCAGCCGCGCCAGGCCCCACCCACAGCTGGTGAAAACGGAGCTGCCGCCAGGCCCCAGCCCGCCCCCGGCTCTCACCTCCTGGAGCGAACGTGGTAGCTGGCTTCCCGCCGGCGCCGCCGCTCACGCGCGCTGCTGCTCGACCGGGACCGCGTCCGCCGCCGCTTGTGCTTGCGACTCCTGTAGCGCTCGCGATAGCTGCCACGGCTGCTGCGCTCCGACGAGCGGTATCTTCGGGAGTGAGGCATCTGCAGGCAGAGCAGGGCAGACTCGGTGACTCCAGGTGTGGGACAGCAGAGACCCGAGTGGAACAGACCCCAGAGCAGCAAGAGTGAGAAATGGGTCAGAAACCTGCCCCATGCGCCACTTGGGCGGAGGCGACAGACCTGTTTCAGCCAGAGCTGCCATTCCACCAGGACACCTCTCACAGATCCACTGGGCCCAAGGACCGCTAGCACCGCCCTGCCTGCCTGGGGCTACATCTGGGCTGTGCCAAGCGCTGTTGGAATGAAGACCTCAGCTCCAGACTTGGTTGCCAGAGATCTCCCTGCCCCGAAGAGCTCCCAGGTAGTATCCTAGAACACTAGAACTGGAAGGGACCAGTCGAGTCCAGTCCCCTGCCCTCACGGCAGGACCAAGCACCATCTAGACCATCCCTGACAGACATCTGTCCAACCTGCTCTTAAATAGCTCCAAAGATGGAGATTCCACAACCTCCCTCGGCAACTTATTCCAGTGTTTAAGCCCCGACAGGCAGGAAGATTTTCCTAATATCCAACCTAAACCTCCCTTGCTGCAGTTTAAGCCCCTTGCTTCTTGTCCTAGCCTCAGAGACCGAGAACAATCTTTCCTTCCTCCCTCCTTGTGACACCCTTTTAGATACCTGAAAACCGCTGTCATGTCCCCTCTCCGTCTGCTCCTTTCCAAACTAAACAAGCCCAATTCTTTCAATCTTCCCTCCTGAGTCATGTTCTCTAGACCTTTCATCATTCTTGTTGCTCTTCTCTGGAGCTTCTCCAAATCTTTCTTGAAACGTGGTGCCCAGAATCATGCCCTAGCATGCGAACAGAATGCATTGCAGGGTCCTCTGCTCTCTGGAAATGTCTCAATTTGCCCCACAGCCCATTTGGTACCAAAATCTCATGCATCTGACCAGCTCTGAGGGGTGGGCTGTGCCGTGGGCGGCGACACGGGGGTGCAGGAACCACAGGGCTCCACTGGGTGAGCAGAGCAGCACTGGGCAGAGGGGAAAGCTCTGAAGAGGAGCCAGTGCAGTCAGGGGGGGATGGACAGATGGAGCAGAAGGCCAGACGGTCAACAACGTTCTGAGCACACGGCACGGGAGAGGCAGCTTCCAGGGTGGTACTGCGGCAGGTCAAGAGCAGGGATGAACTAGCCTTGGCGTGGGGGGAGCAAGGATGCAGGGCTCAGAATCCTCAACTCTCTTTGGGACACTGGGCCTGTCCGCACGTTGGTTCGTTTGTTTCCCGGTTTGTGTTTCCCTTCCATCTCGTGCTGACAGCAGGGCTCCCACAGAATTCAGAGAAACCAACAACGAAGCGGCCTCTGCCCATTCTGGGCCTACACCCCCAGTTATCCAGCACATGGCATCAGCAGCCCTGGGAAGCTAAGCCCAGCCTCCGGTCTCTGCGCTACATCCATCGAGCATTCATCAGACCCACCTGCAGCTTCTGCTGCTAGCTCCACTCTGAGCCTCTGCATGAGGGCAGCACAAGGTGAGCTTCCTGGTGCGGCTGGATGGGGCTCTCAAATGCTGCCTACCCAGGGAAGGGCTACAAACATTGGGGGAGCTCACGGAGCCCTTCAGTACTGTCTGGAGGTGGCAAAGCCCCAGGGCAATGCCGCGAGGAGTCTGGATGCTGCAGGCTGGAAGAGTGGAAGGATCCAAGGGAGTCTGGGAGTCACAACAATTTTCCTGCTTCTGGGCAGAGGGTGCGGCGTTTCGGGGCACCCAGGGCAAGGTCAGAGTCAGGTCCTCAGAGGAACAGGGCCAGGATGCGCCAGCTTGGGACCAACACAGCCAAGCTTGAGTCTCTCAGCTGAGCCCAACGGTAGAAGGAAACTTTCCAAACAAGGAAAAGCGAAGGGGTCTGGGCTGCTCCCTCCTGTCTCTGGATCAGCTGTGTGTACGAGGACATCCGCGCTGGGCGCCGAGCCCTAGGCTGGTGCACAGACCCTCTGCTGGCAGGACCTGGCTGCTCTTTCCTGTACTATTCTCTGCCCCCCCCCCCTCCCAACCAAAGAGCGTTTGCCTGCCCCCCCCCCCATCCCAACTAAAGAGCGTTTGGTCACTGCAACTCCGTGGGCAGCATGCGTATGTCCCATGCCCAGTCAGGCCTCCGTTTCCTAAGGAGCACACTGAGAACCAGCCACAGACTCTGGCGCCCCGCCTGAGAGCCAGGCAAGCACAGCCACCGGAAGGGGGGGGAGGGGAGAGGAAGGAGGCAGGTGAATCAGAGCTCTGGATGCTGCTGGCATCTGGCCCAAACGCCTAGTAGACGGAGGCAAGCTCCAAGGGGAACTTGTCAGGAGGCTGGTGTGGAATACAGCAGTGAACAGGCCCCATGGGCCAGGTTCTCAGGGCAGGACAATTAAACTACGGACACAGTGCGCTTCCTGAGTGCCACCTCTGCTCACCGGCTCTCAAAGAGCCTCGCAAATATCTGCTAATTAAACCTGGCATGCCCCTCACCCCCCAAATGCCGGCACTAATCATCTCCACGCCCCAGGGAACCTGCCGCATGAGGGCGGGGGGTGAAAGGCCTCCATTGGGTTGTGCAGCGACTGAGGCAGAACCTATGCGTTCCAATTCTCAGCCCCCTCTGCTCTAGCCAGACAGCACTCCTTCCCAGAGCCACGAGGGCAGCCCGGCACCCTGGCTCCCACCCTCGTGCTAGTGCCTCTAGATACCTGTGGCTCTGCATTATTCACCAGCAATGTGGTCTCCAGGGAAGAATGTGAAATCAGAGCTCCCCTCACCCTCACGTGACTGATTCATCCCAAGATGCACTAGTGCACCTGGCTCATTTCTTGTACTTGCAACTTCATCTGAAAGCAGGTGCACAGAGACAGAAAATGGTCTGATCAAAGATGTGGCGTCTCCTCCCTATGAGCGACTTACGGCCGGGGGGGCAAACCTAGGCCTCCCTAGGCAACACAACCCTCCCTGCTGGGTAACTTGGACAGCAAACACACTCTTCAGGCTCTGAAGCCAGGAGAACATTAAAGGCTGCCACACCTATTCCGTGGACCAAAGAGACATTTCTGGTCTTTAATGAGAAATCCACATTTCTGAGCTTCGTGCTGGCAGCTTTTCAGATGCCAGGAAAGCAGGACAGTCGCACTACTCTGCCCTCGTAACCCAGAGCATGGTGTCTGTGGAGCAGCGGTACCGCTCAGGAAGCTGGCAACAGCCAGGAGAAGCTATAAAGAGGGTGCCTCTGAGCAAGGTGCTTCTCGCAGGGACCACTGCCGATTCTGAGCCAGCACGTCTCAGTCTGACTCTCAGTCCAGTTATAAAAGCCAGCAAAGAGACTAAAATGGAAACGGCAGCTATCGCTGGAGGGACCCTTGTTGCCAGCAATCAGCACCGCCACCCTGAGCATTCGTACTGGGCTTCCTAAACACCACTGAATTAATCCCGACACTCCAGCAGACAGGGAATGTCACAATGCCCATCTACAGACAGAGAAACTGAGGCACGGCAAGAGGAAGGTGATTGCCAAGGGCACAAAACAAGTGAGAGGCTAGAACTACAGCCCCACAATCCCGGCTGTCAGACCTCTGCTCAGATCCCAGCCCTGAGGCCTGCTCCCAGGCAGTACTGAGCTATCCTCAGCACCCCCGGTCCTGGAAGCTCTTGGCCCTGGCTCAGGCTGCAGAGTGACCCCGAGCCTAGGAACACTGAGCAGCCAGCATGGAGATAAACCTGCTGGGTGTGTGTGTGGGAGTGCACGCAGACCAGCATCGGAACGCCGTGTTTTCAGCCCTGGCAGTCAGGATGCTGACGTGGGGACCCAGCACCTGCTCCCCACCAGCGAGCCCCCTGCACAGGCGCGTGTGTGTGGGAGTGCACGCAGACCAGCATCGGAACGCCGTGTTTTCAGCCCTGGCAGTCAGGATGCTGACGTGGGGACCCAGCACCTGCTCCCCACCAGCGAGCCCCCTGCACAGGCGCCTGCGCCTGGCTGGGGACA